GTGAGGGCAAGGGAAATAAGAAAATGCTGAAATAAGGATATAAGTTGACCCATTGTAGCAATGATACATACAAGACACTATGCTGAAAATGAACTTTACAACTTTGTGAGGCCAGGGGAGAGGGAGGAATTGGGGAGGTGAGGAGATAAATGATGGTAGGGGACAAATAAAGGAGGAGGTGACAATGCTCGATAGGAAATGGACTCATTACCTTGCTCATTTAACTATAACCCCTCTGTACAATATCTTTACAATAAAAATATATAGTTAACAATAAACAAATAAATAACAAAAAAATAAATAAATGTCTAGCTAAAATAAAAAATGTTTTTGTTCTTTCGTTTACAACTTTACTTATATTGGTTATTGATTTAATGTGTCACATTTTAACAAAAGGGAAATCAATACTACATTTTACTTTTGCATTTCTCCAAAGTTCTCAATACTAATTTCCTTGATTTGAAATTATTTTTCTTCCTTGTCATACTTTAAATCTTTAAGCTCAAGTCTAAGCACTTAGCCTATCAGTCATTGTAAAATCAAGTCCAGGCTGTGAGTTTATGGACCACTGAGAACCTGGAATTACCCCACTGTTACCATCATGCTCATCAAAGGATCATTTCATATATTCAGGATTCTATATAATTTCCAATGGAGAAAGTTACCTGGTGATACAACATTTTCATGTCATATGATAGACATTTCTCATTAGGATTCAGGAGATCAGCACTTTTCTTTATGTTAGGATTCTTTTTGGTACTGAAGAATCAAGTTTCAAAATATATGTTATAAAAAAACCTCCTCTTGTGGGAGAGAAGGATGTCATTAACCTAGATGCATTGTACTCATGGTCTGATAGATTAACTCCATTGTATAACTACTTAAAGATAATAATATTAAAATAAAAATGAATGCCTAAATAAAAAAATAAGTCTCATTCTTCTGAGATGATTATTTCCAAGTACACGGAGTTGAACAAATTAGTATTATAAATGCCACAGAGAAAATCAAGTGGACTAGTGAAGTGGTTTAAACAGGGGTCAGCTTCATGTGATGTGATTGAGGAAGGTGTGTCTGAGGAGGCATCCTCAGGACAAAGTGAAGTGAATTACAAGGAAGAACAAGGACACAAATATTTGTAGCAAAAGAACTGAAATCAGATGCTGTGGAATAAAGGCTCTAAAAGGGGAACAGATTCATTTTGCTCTGAAGACACTCAAAGAATTCTTGAAGTATTTGAATAAAAGAAAATATATGGACATAAAAATCCCTGCTGATTTGGTTTGCGAACCTCCTTCTATATCTGATGTTTAGGCATTCTGTCCAAATCGAATTTCCAGACCAGCCACACCGAGCACCAGACAGTGTGGTAGGAAGTTCGACAACGCTGCCCAGCAACCTGTCCTGCTATTCACACTCATGCCATTCACCACACTCATCTAGATTCCATCTTGAGGACCAAGGACTACTTCTCAAATCAAATGTTAAACTCCAAGGACTTGTCTTGGGTTTTGTCTCCCTGTGTCGTTCTGTCTCTTTTGCACACTTACATGATATTAGAAGCAAATTTACCAGCCCAGGGAAGGTTTCATATAATTTCAGTTGTCAACAAGTTTGCATTAATTAATTAATTAACTAATTAATTAATTAATTTTGTCAGGCCTTGTGATTGGCCTCAGGGCCTGGGTGCTGTCTCTGAACTTTTTTGCTACCAATTATCACTTGACCACTTGAGCCACAGTTCCACTTCAGCCCTATTGGTGGCGAACTGGAAATAAGATTCATTGGCTTGAACCTTGATCCTCAGCTCTTAGTCTCCAGAGTAACTACCATTATAGGAATGAGCTACTGCACCTGGCTAACTTTTGCCTTTAACCTTGTGAAATACCTTGAAACAGAACCACCCATAATTTGACACTTCAGATATTCTTAAAAAAGAAGCAAGGGAACAAGGAAATAAATGAACACAACAAACCAAGCTAACAAAGCCTTGTTTTTTTAATTTGTCAGCTAACACTGATTTGAACTTTGTCTTCCATCCTCACTTTTCTGACACCTCAAAAAACATAATGAAGAAATCAATTTTGGTATGATAAAAATAGTATCATTGGTTCTAAAACTTTTTCTTATGGATCGTCACTTTCTTTTCAGAAGTTTACTCTTCCCAATTACCACACCTGATCAAGACCTGCCTGTTTCAATGAGTTTTTTTAAAGCAAATGTCCATGTGAGTAATCTAATTTTATGATTCCTTAATATGCTTAGAAGAATAATCATAAAGGAACACTGTAAGACAATGTTCACACTCACTTCTGTATTTAACTGGAAAAAAAAAGATGAGAATCTATACACTTCATAATTTGTTTCCTAATGGACATGCATTTCAATGTATGCTATACCACAATTCTTATTCATATGTTTTTACAATATGCAGATTGTCACACATATAGAATTCAAGACAAAAGAGGAAGGAAAAAATTATGAAAGACTCACTGAAGACTTGGCATACTTTTGGCATCCCAGAGTACTCATTATCTTGCCCATGTAATTGAAACCCCTCTGTATAGTATTTTCACAATAATAAAAAATATATATAATAAAAATTCTAAGTTATCTCTTCTCAGAATATTGATTACAAAACTAAAATTGTTCTTCCTACGACTACATTTTTACTTTTGTTTTCATTGTAATTAAAAAATGAAGCATACAGTTTCACATACATTTAAGATACAGTCGTATTTGTATGAAAAGGTTTCATGTGTGGTAAAAATACAGTTTATTCAAGACAGACTCTTTCTGGAATTCCCATTCTACAGACATAGAAGTAAAATAAATCTCAACAGATGTTATATGTCCGTGTTTCACTCTTTAGATTTTTTTTGATTAGGTATAAAATGAGCACATTAGATTGTAAATAACTTTGAAATGGTTCTTAAATTGTAAAAACTATAGCAGCTACCACAGTTATAAGGGCATAACAGTTTATTGAAGAGGGCTAGAATATATGTCTAGCAGATTTTAGAATGTTTTGTACTTAAAGTGATTTTGCATATTTATGCTACTTATTTTAATTCTAAACTCCTTAGATCCTATAGAATACCCATGTATTAATTTTGAGCATTGTTACTCATTACCCTGTGTTAATCACATATTAATATATAAAGTTAATATTATTATCAATCTGTATCTGATTTTCATTTGTATAAATATTTATATTTAACAATCTATGTTAAAAGTTCTATGTCAGGTATATTTTATATTTCAGATCTAAGGCATTACTTGAAATCACTGTGGATTCTCCTCCATCTATATTCCATGTTTTATCTGTGCCCTAAATGTATGTATTTGGATGAAAGTGATAATTGTTCTTTCCTCTTGGTTTAGCTTTCTTTTAGCCAAGTTGCCACTTTAATCATTCGGGATGCACACAGAAGCACTTGCTGCATTTGCAGAAGATTAACACTGGAACTTTCAGCTGTGTCTCTATCTGTTTATGTTTCCAATCTGGGAAAGGTGCACACAGATACATCACTCAGATCACAGAGCACTGAAATTTGGAGCCGTTCCTTCTCTCTATGCTACTCAACTGCCACCAATGCAGGAAGGTATCAATGGATTGATTCTCTACGAAAGTGTTAGATGGATTCTGTATCAGTGCTGAGGATTACTCTCAAAATCATGTTACTATATTGTAGCAAATACATTTTTATAAACCAACCTGGATTTGAAGGCAATTTGATTGATCGATTAGACATAAGAAGAACAATGAAAGTCAGTCTAGTTTGCTTAGGGGAAGAAAATATCACACGTAAACATTAAGATCAAGTTGGATTCAGGAAAAAATCTAAATCAGGTTGTCTAAATCAGGTTGAAATGTTTGCAAAATTAATCACTATATTGAATATTTTTGGTGATATTGAAGACATGTAAGAAGGTAGTACATACTTTAGTCATCATTATTTAATATATAACATATAAGTGATATTAATTTTTGATTATAAAAATATTCTGTGCAACACAAAATTCTTTTTTTTTTGTTGGTCGTGGGACTTGAACTCTGGGCCTGAGCACTGTCCCCACGCTCTTCAGCTCAAGGCATGAGTGCTCTACCACTTGAGCCACAGTGCCACTTCCTGCAACACAAAATTCTATGATTGAGCATGAATAAAGGAAAGCTAGGTGAAGCTGCATTTTATTAACCATACATTGCGTAATATTTAGAGATCAATCTTTAAAATTCTTTCCATGTTTATAGAAACCACATCTTAAATACACCAGTAAAAATGAACCGTTTGAAAGACTATATAAAAATAGCTGTTTGCTTTTTTACAAGATAACTTTAAGATCTCTTGAAAAAACCTTTTACCTAAAAATGTCTGACATTTTTATTTAAAACTGAAAAATACCATAGTCCACAAATTGATTAGCAGCATTAAATTTTTTTGTGCTGCACCAGGTGAAATTATAAATTTTAGTTATTAAAAATGATAAATCCAAGCTGTGCACTAGTGGCTCAGGCCTATAATCCTATCTACTCAGGAGGCTGAAATCTGAGGATTGCAACTTGAAGCTAACCCAGGCAGGAAAAGTCCGTGAGACTCCTTATCTTCAATTAATCACCAGATAACCAGAAGTGGAGTGGTGGCTCAAAGTGAAAAAGCTCAGGGACAGTGCCCAAGCTCTGAGTTCAAGCCCCATGACCAACAATAAAAAAAATAAAGACAAATTCACAAACTTGAATGCAATAATTTCCTGGCAAGTACTTTCAGCATGAGAATAAACTTGAAGGGCTTTTCCCACTTTTATTTCTTCAACCAGTAGACATTCTTATCCTATATGAATAGCATACAGAATTCTGTATATTTTGACTTTTAGTAGAATTTGTATAGCAGTTTAGGAAAAATGGCAGAACTTCTGAAACAAAAGCTGAATAGCTACTTTTTCTTACTGTTGGAAAAAAAATCACAATTCAAAATTTAGAAAATCCACAAATCACTTACTTTGGTAGAGTTTTCAAGTGATTTTCTCTTAACTCCAAGATCCTCAATTTGACAAGTCTGTGAAAAGAAGTTTTAAAAATTACTTCTTACAATTTCTGTGTAAATGAAGCATTCACGTGGTAAATTGAATTATCATTATCACTATCCAAATATCTCTGCTGAAATTCTTAATATGTTTACAAAGTTTAAGTAAATGTGTAAATTGCTGTGAAGGTGCTTTGACACTGAATCATGACAAACTACTTTTCTCATAATAATATTTCAAAGATAAATAGAAACCTTTATCATTTGACTAATACCTTATAAAATATTCACTATTGCAATTAATTTTATGTGTTTAGTAGATCATTGAGAATACACTAAATGTTGGGAGCTAAGTTCAGTGAAGCATAGCAACACTTTTCTTCAGGGGACTATGAATGGATTTGAAAGGCAAATAGTATAACACAGAAACAAAAAATTAGGGTTTTGTAGCAAGACAGATCTGGATGAAATTTAGGCCTTACCATATTCTATCTCTGTAATAGTATACCAAAATGATCAACAGTGCCAAATCCATGGGGTGAAATATATACACACTCATATATCCTAGTACATCATGCATTTAATATTACAGTTATTACTAATTTCTTTAATTGCACAATGGGAAAGGTGCCATAGAGTACCAGGTTTTACTGACTCAAAACTACATATTTTATGGGATTGTATGAAATTGCAGAGCTTCGGCATGGCAAAGGACATAGCTAAAATATATATATATCTAAAATATACCTGGAACTCAAAAAATTAAATCCTTCAACAACAAATCCTCAAAGAAACAACTGCCCAATAAATAAGTGGGCTAAAGAATTAAAGAGAAACTTCTCTGAAAAGGAAAGAAGGATGGCCAATAGACACATGAAGAAATGAGCCATAAAAGAAATGCACATCAAAACAACATTGAGATATCACCTCACCCCAGTTAGAATGGCAAAAATCAAGAACTCTAACAACAACAGATGCTGGAGGGGATGTGGACAGAAAGGAACCTTACTTCATTGTTGGTGGGAATGTAAACTTGTTCAACCACTTTGGAAAGCAGTATGGAGGTTCCTCAAAAGACTTCACATAGAACTCCCCTATGACCCAGCAATTCCACTTTTGGGCATTAACCCAAATGTTCACAAACAAGACTACACTAAAGCTACCACACGACTGTTTATTGCAGCCTTATTTACCATAGCTAAGATATGGAACCAACCCAGATGCCCCTCAGTAGATGAATGGATCAAGAAAATGTGGTATATATATACAATGGAATTCTATGCCTCCATCAGAAAGAATGATATTGCCCCAGTTGTTAGGAAATGGAAAGACTTGGAAAAAATTATATTAAGTGAAGTAAGCCAGGCCCAAAGAAACATAGGTCCCATGGTTTCCCTTATTTGCAATAACTAGTGTATGTCTAAGACAAGCAGAAAAGGTCAGATAAGTTGATATTAGGCAAAATGAACCCCAAGATATGGACTCAAATGTTTTTTCTTTCTCGCTATTTTTTCTAACGTATTTATAAGATGATTTCTTTGTTGCTTTTATGTCCCTCCCCCACGGCATAACCCCTGTTTTCACTGTATTTGATGTTGATATAATTTGTGGAGGGGTCGGGCAAAAACAAATTGTTTAAATGGGATACAGGTGGACTCATCGCAACAACGAGATGTACAAGTCGTTATGTGGAAAAACGATCTTTACAACTTTGGCCGGGTTTGGGGGGGCGAGGGGTGGTAGATGAGAAGGAGGAGGCAACAATGCTTGATAAGAAATGTACTCATTATCTTGCCCATGTAATTGTAACCCCTCTGTACGGTATTTTCACAATTAAAAAAAACTACACATTTTAAAATTTCTAAAAATAAATACATTTGAAAACTTTTTTCAACTGTTCTGCAGCAATGCTGAAGTTGGATAAAAAAATCACACAAAAAGAGTGAAAGGCTTCTATTATTGGATATCTCCGAAATCCCTGTAGCAATTATTTGTTAATGCTTGTGATGTGGAATATTCTTTTATTTATGTCTACACCAAGCAGAAATTATACTGAAATGAAATTGGCAGAAGAAATGATAATTTAGTACTTGAAATGTACGTGTAGTTTAGGAATGTTTCACTCTTAATTATTTCACCTGTCACGTCCAAGATTTACTGAACTTTTAGGTACTCATCTAGTTTCTCTTACCTTTCCCTTTGTTTGTCTATCAAGTTTCTAATTTATTTCCAACCTTACCACTACATCTGTATATAATAAAGTGATATTGCTCATTAGAATATGAATATTAGTAATTATGAATTGATTTAGTTATTTAGCACATAGATACTTTTGTGCTTCAAATCACAGCAATTGTACTAATATAATGATATCCTAAGACTTTGTTTTAGCTTTTAGGAGTACACAATCTCAGAGGGGAATCTTTAACATCCTCATGTTATACTATCCTAGCTGAAGGTTAAATACTTTTTAGGTATAATAAAAGAAAGCATATCTTGGAAGACAACTTATATGACTTAAATTCTAATTCCCAGTAGTTTTGGTATTAGCATTATGTTTTTTTTCGATTGAGAACTTTTTAATTTTAATTTTTCTTGTAAAAATGTGATGTATAGAGGGGTTACAGCTATGGAAGTCAGATACTGAACACATTTCTTTTTGAACAGTGACACACTGCCCCACATTTTCTCCAAGATTTTTTGCTCCTGACTCCCCTCCCAAGTTATATAGCTCATTTTCACCATCACATCTAGTTAGTATCACTGCTATATTTGTTCACCCATTGTCCTATCATTTGTGTGTTCCCCCTTACCCTCTCCAAAACAGATAAACTTACATCCAAGACAAAAAATTCAGAAGTCAAAACAGCGACAAAGGAGAAATACACACACACACACACACACACACACACACACACACACACAGAGTTATGTTTTTTGTAGGCCCACATCTCATCCTCATTTTAGTACTATTTAAAGAGAATTGACAAAAATTCAAAACAGAAAAGTTTCTTAGAATGTTGATTTAATAATTTATAATTTGCTGCTTCAAAATCATATTGTAGTGTTGTAGTCAGTACAAGAGGAAACACTTTGATTTGTGTGGGTAAACATTAAGGTCTCAATTCATTTATAAATCCAGCAAAGGCTCTTTCAAAAACCTGTGACAGTTAAACCTGCTCAGGAGAGACTGTTCATGGATAATTTAATATTTTTGATCCACAGAAGTACAGGAATCTGGAAAATGCCCATGAGCTTTCAGTTTGTTGACAGTAGTGGATACATGTTAAGTATTTTATTATACCACTGAGTTCATAAAATGCCATCTAATAGCTTCTGTCAATAGACAGGCATTAAATTATGCCTAGTATATTAGTAAAACAATTTCATATATTAGTAAAACAATTTCACAATCATTTGAGAAATCAGTTGAAAATGAAATTAACATTTCTTTAATTTAACCTGTATCTTTTATCCAAAAACATGATCCTATCATATTCCAACTAGAAGATATTGAAACAAAATATGAATGAAAATGTAATTTCCCTGTAGTTTTAATTCAAAGTAACTTGTCTTTTATATCCTACATATGTATACTGGCAACTATTTACGTTGTTAAAATACACCCTTAGACTTAATCATCAGACATAAGATGACTAATTGCTACATGATATTGTATGTATGGATTGTAATATATTTAACCAGTCTCCTAGAGACTGTGTAATTCTAGTTTTTCCACTTTTCAATAACAACAAATTTATTTGTCCACAACACCAGTTGATACTTGACCATGGTGAGAAATATTTCTAACAATGAATAATAAAGGCAGTAGCTGTATTTCCAGGTATTTGAAAGAATATGAAATTATCACTGAGAACACATGCTTTAGTTACGATATCATGTACACCCATCATGTTAATTGTTATTATATTTATTATTTATGGAATAATCCCTTATAATGTGCGTATTGACCATTGCATGTTTTATTAAAAAATCCTTGTGCATTTAATTCACCCATTTCTGCCCTGCATTTTCATCTTCATACTAATATTATAAGAATCATTTACATGAGGAAATATTATTTGATTTTCATACTGAAAATATTTCCTAGTTTATTAATCTATCTTAAATTTTATATTTTCTTATTAATTTTATTTTACAACATTCAGAGTTCACATTTGTCTGTCCACTTGTATTTTGTTATGATTGTATAGAGGCATTTTGCAACCTTAAGCCATAAATATTTTTCTGCATTTTTAAGATCATTTTTTATTGCTTTTTCTATTTAATTCATCAAGAGATTTAAAAAATTATTAATGCTGTAAAGACCTAAAAATAGAAACTTTCATGAATTAACAGTCTTATTGTAGTGTAACTTTACTGGCAGGCTTAATGCAGTATAACTACACACAACTGTGCTCTTTGAAAACTTTGCTTACCCAAGGTGAACTAAGATTGCACAATTTTGTATTTCTTATTCTTACCTTCCAAAATTGGCTGGAAGAAATTCAAGAAAGGCGTCGTTCAGGTAGAGCTGGGTCAGGTTTAGAAGCTGTGTGAATCCATCAGGGAGTCTAAAAAGGAGGCAAAGTTTTAGGATTTATCAGAGTTGCTATAGGAACAGAATAAAACAGTATATCTCTGGGAAGAAAAATAATTCTAATTTTCCTTTGGTTTCACAAAGAGGAAATGCATAGAGGGTATTGTTACAACTTGGAAATTTTGTCTGTTATTAAAACAAATGGTATTTCCCAACCTCCATGCTTCTCTCCTATACTAAGATTGAGATTTATGTCACTACCAAAGTCAGCAACAGCATCTCTTACTACTGGACAAACCTTATCCACACCAGCCAATACTTTTTCTTAATAGACTATTAAGTACATCCTCAAGAATATCTATATATTATACAGTGAGACTTTAAAATCTGTTTCTCTCTTACCATGATGACCAATGTGCCAAATACGGAAAAGGGAAGGTAATGACACTTTGATGTTTTCCTTTTTTCCTTTTGTTTTTCCTCCCCTTCATTCCTTCCTTCCTCCCCTCTTCCTCCTCTTCCTCCTCCTCCTCTGCTCCTCCTCCACCACTTCCTCCTCCTCTTCCTCCTGCTCCTCCTCCTTCCCCTCCCTCGTCCTCCTCCTTCCCCTTCCTTTCATCTTTCCTTCCTTCCTTCCTTCCTTCCTTCCTTCCTTCCTTCTTCCTTCCTTCCTTCCTTCCTTCCTTCCTTCCTTCCTTCCTTCCTTCCTTCCTTCCTTCCTTCCTCTCTCTCTTTCTCTCTTCCTCTCTCTCTTTCTCTCTCTCTCTCTCTTTCTCTTTTTCTTTCTTTCTTTCTTACTGGAGCTTAAACTCAGGGTCTTATATTTTTGCTTGGCTTGTTTGGTCAAGATTGTCATACATGGGCTGGGAAGTTGGCTCAGTGGTAGAGCGCTTGCCTTGCATGCATGAGGCCCTGGGTTCGATTCCTCAGTACCACATAAGCAGGAAAACAAAAAGCTGGAAGTGGTGCTGTGGCTCAAGTGGTAGAGTGCTAGACTTGAGCTGAGGAGCTGAGGGACAGCGCCCAGGCCCAGAGTTCAGGCCCCATGACCAGACCAAAAAAAAAAAAGATTGTCATACTTCCATGTAAGTTACTCTAGACTGGCTTGATGGTCTTTATTTCAGAGATTGAGTCTCATAAGCTTGTCTGCTACAGCTAGCTTTGAAGCTAGCTGTACTCTAGACCTCAGCTTTCTGAGTGGCTAGGACTACAAGTATAAGCCACCAGAGTCTGGTTTTATAATTTCTTTAATATTATGATTCAAATTGATTTACCTCATGTTTATTACAAATAAACAATAACATTCCAAAGACATTTGAATGGAATTATAGACTATAAGAAGCATTAAAATTTGAGAAAATATATTTGAAGGAATTTTAAAAATTAGGTGAAATAGTTATTTAAAAAATTAAATATTTTTTAATAAAATGAATTAATTCAAGGATTCTTCCAGAGATTGTTTTCTGAGAGAAATATTAAGCTTTCTGCAGGTAATTTTATTTAAATATTTTAATACCTTCATCTCTAGTCTAATCCAAGCTATACATTGTTTTATTTATATTTCCTGTTAGCTTTCAAATTTTCTTTCTCCTAAAATTATATCCTCTTTTCTTGAATTTACAACCAAATTATTTAAAAAGTTGCCTGTTCTCACTGCTTTTTTACTACCCTCCAGCCATTGTTTTGAGGATCTATCCCAAGTCTATTACTAAAATGGCACTCATTAAAGTCTCCCATGGCCTCTTAGCTCCCAATCTCATTAGCTCTATGTCTTTTCTATCCCATACTACCTAGCAATAGTTGCTTCTAGCATAGCAAATTTCCAGTTTCTCCTCCTACTCCTGGGCTATTATATCTGAGATTCATTCCAGTTTCTCTTCTTCTGCCTGACCTTTGTTATAAAATGATTTTCTATATATAAAAGATGCTGAATGCTTACATCCAATAGAATGAAGAAATAGGACCAGTATCTCTTGGAGCCTCTCCCTCCTACATCTTTCTTTGACCCCCCTTCCATATTTCTAAACACCGTTAATTATTTTGTTTTTAAAAAAGAAATTTTCTGCCCTAATGTCATTTTTAAAAAAGAAATATGGTGTGTAGTTTTCCATGCTTTTTTTTAAATTGTGAAAATACTGTACAGAGGGGTTACAATTACATAGGCAAGGTAATGAGTACATTTCTTTTTCTTAATTTTTATTTTTTTATTGTGAAAATACTGTACAGAGGGGTTACAATTACATGGGCAAGGTAATGAGTACATTTCTTATCAAGAATTGTTGCCTGCTCCTTTGTTTCCCCTTCTCTTCCCTTCGCATCTCCCAACGCGCCCCCCCACCATTTCCATGCTTTTGAATATCATGCTGGGTCCATTTTCCTTTAACTTTTAGACATTAATTTAAAAGTACTTTCCCCCTCAAATTCACCCACTGTGATATGAACGGCCCTCATTGCATGCTATGCTAGTGTATGAATGTCCCACAATTTATTTCCCATTCTTATTTTTGTGAATCTCACACTTGCATCTAGATTTTTGTTTTGCTATGAGACACATTGCTTCTATGAAGACATAGAAACATAGATCCTAGTATACTTTTACTGAGTCATAGGGAATGTAAGTTTAAATTTATTAGCTTACACGTTTATTTAAAGTACTTCTATCCATTTATAATGAAACTGTCTGTGTCAAAGAACTTTGCTTCCCATGCCATTTTTAATCTTTGCCTTTCTTAGATTTTACTTTTTTTGCCAGTTTTGTAAGTGTAAAATAATAACACATTTTTATCTTTTACTAATATCATCATAGCCATTTTCTTGATTTCTTATGAAAAAATTTCCTGTAAGTTTATTATACCTCTTCTGTAGAAAAATGTGAAGTTATCCTAGCCATTTTCCTATTCTGTAGACCCTCATCTCCTGCTGATCCCAACCTTGTTGTTTTTAACCCCTGAAGGTTTTCTACAGCTGCTAGAGCCTTGCTTGGTTCATTGAGCCACAATTTCCTCAGGATCAGACTCAACTCTCATATAACAGGACTACTGTATAAATACCTAAGATCTTCACCCTGTCTGAGAACTTGATCAATAGTTTGGTGATATTCTTTAAGAGTTTCCTGGGAGCATCTGACTACACTGTCTGTGTTCATTACTGCTTGTGGGAATCCAAACTTGGCACAATTAATATTTCTCTACCAAGTTGTAGCAATTCTTGACATATCCTCAGGACATTGACCTTAATTTGATTATTTCTGCTGCACATATGTTGTTCTAGTTTGTGTTTTGGAGTTGGATTGAGTATGGCTTCACAGAGGATGTTTCCATAAATCTGACTTTATGAGAGAAAAGAAATCAGATAAGAAAGAGAAAGGATGTGAAGTACGGGGGTGTGGAGTGAGAGTTTATGTAATGTAGAGGCAAGATGGTAAATAAATTCAGAGATGAGAAAACTGTATGATACTTTGGAAAATGAAGACTTGAGGAAATCAATAGAGAACAGGATTTCAAAGACCTTGAATGTTCAGCTCAAAGGATTGAGCTTGACTCTAAGAACTAAGAATTGGTGGTAAATTTCCTCTTAACTCAGGAATGAGAAAAGGATGTCTATTCTCTTCCCATCTCTTCAATCTAGTATTAGAATGCCTAGCTACAGCAATAAGACACAATGCAAACACAAAAGGGATCCAAATAGGGAAAGATGAAGTAAAACTCTCCTTCTCTGCAGATGATATGATCTTGTATTTAAAGAATCCCACGGACTCTACTCCCAAATTACTCAAGCTGATTCAAAACTTTGGCAAAGTAGCAGGGTATAAAACTAACCCTCAAAAATCAATGGATTTTCTGTATGCCAACAATGAGAAAAGCATGGCTGAAATCAGGAAAGCAACTCCATTCCTAATAGCCCCACAAAAAATAAAATACCTAGGAATTAACTTAACCAAAGAAGTGAAGGACCTCTATGATGAAAACTTAAAAAACCTGAAAAAGGAACAGAATTTAGAAAGTGGAAAAACCTCCTATGCTCCTGGATTGGAAGGATCAACATCATGAAAATGGCAATACTTCCCAAGGCTATCTACAAATTCAATGTGATACCTACCAATATTCCAACGTCATTCTTCAAGGAAATAGAAGAGGCAATCCAAAAATTTATATGAAACAATAAAAAAAACCCGAATAGAAAAATGATCCTTAACAGAAAGAACAGTGTTGGAGGAATATCAATACCAAATTTCAAACTATATTACAAAGCCATAATAACAAAAACAGCTTGGTACTGGCAAAATGGACCAATGGAATAGAATTAAAAACCCAGAAATGAACCCACAGACCTATAGCCACCTAATCTTCGATAAGGGAGCTAAAAAAATACAATGGAAGAAAGACAGTCTCTTCAGTAAATGGTGCTGGCAAAATTGGTTGATCACTTGTAGAAAACTAAAGTTAGATCCTTAATATCATCCTGCACCAGAATCAACTCCAAATGGATCAAAGACCTCGGAGTCAAAGCAGACATCCTGAAAACATTACAGGACGGAATAGGAGAAACCCTAGGTCTCCTTGGCGCAGGCCGAAATTTTCTTAGTAGAGACCCAGAAACACAACAAATCAAAGAAAGGTTGGACAAATAGGATTGCATGAAATTGCAGAGCTTCTGCATGTTAAAGGACATAGCTAGCAAGATCAATAGAAAGCCCACGGATTGGGAGAAGATTTTCACCAGCCATACAATGGATAAGGGTCTCATATCTAAAATATATCTGGAACTCAAAAAATAAATCCCCCAATAACAAATCCTCAAAGAAACAACTGCCCAAGAAATAAGTGGGCTAAAGATTTACAGAGGAAAGACTGAAGAGGAAAGAAGGATGGCCAATAGACATATGAAGAAATGCTCAACCTCCCTAGCCATAAAAGAAATGCAAAACCAAACAACATTGAGATACCACCTCACTCCAGTTAGAATGGCAAAAATCAAGAACTCTAATAACAGCAGAGCTGGAGTGGATGTGGACAGAAGGGAACCTTACTGCAT